TGTTCCAGCCGAGTACTAGCTCCTCACACAGAACACGCCAAAGGCAAAGCGTTGCCGACCGGCAGTGTTGCCAGATTGAAAATATCGAATTATCGTACCAGAAGCTCAAAATTATCGTATTTGGAAGAAACTGATCGTACACGAGTCAAACGGACAGAATCCAGCTATTTTTTAAGACGTGAGGTTGACTGGATTGTTGACTGACGCACACACGCAAGGTCTCTCCCTATCTACCGTGCTCTCTCGCCTTCATTTTCTCCACACAATTGTGACGTAGATCAACAGCTAGATCAATGAGTGTAGAAGCACTATGATTACAATGACCTCCGATCACAAAATTCGGAAATTATCGTATATTATGGGATTTTTTTTTCTTTATTGATCATACATCGTACAGAGGTCAAAATTATCGTACAAATATGATAATTATCGTACATCTGGCAACACTGCCACCCGGGCTCCTCCAAAATCTTCGGAGCTTGGGTGCTGGTCGCAATCCAGGTCAGTTAGGGGTAGGCAAGATCTGAGGACTGTCATCTCTAAGAAAGCCTGGAATAAGAAGAAGTCCTGACTCACAGGGGGTCAGACTTCTGAGGGTGGTCCCCTCCGGGGAGGGATGGTTTCAAGAAATCATTCCTCCTCGGCGCCCTCTGGGGGGCGATGCTCCGAGGAGTATCGCAGCGCTGCCACATCGGTTGTTCCCTGTCGGTTCGCCGTTTCAGGGCACCGAGGTGTCAGCGTCCCCATACGGTCCTCCAAGGAGGGTCGTAGAATGGTCAGTTTGGTTGTTCCCTGTCGGTTCGCCGTTTCAGGGCACCGAAATGTCCGTTCAACAAAATCCCGAGGCCAGTCTCGAGAGACTGGTCCCCTTAGTGGAATTCATGGCAGCGTGGAAACTACTGCCAGATATTTCTCAATGGGTCCTGCATGTGATAAAAAAGGGGTAAAGAATTCAGTTCGGTTCTCGTCCTCCCAGATTTTTAGGGTTCATTCCCAAAGTGGTGGTCCCCGAGCAGGCTCGGGTTATGGAACAGGAAGTAATGAAGCTTTTGCAAAAAGGGGCTATAGAAAGGGTTCCTCCTACCAGCAGAGAGTCAGGGTTTTACAGCCGATACTTCATCGTTCCCAAGAAAGATGGTGGGTTACGTCCTATTCTAGATCTGTGTCAGCTAAACAGCAGAGTTCAAAAGTTCAAGTTCAGGATGCTTACACTCAAACAGATCGTGTCACAGATTCAGTCCGAGGACTGGTTTGTCACAATAGACTTAAAGGACGCTTATTTTCACATATCCATCCATCCTCATCACAGGAGGTTCCTGAGGTTTGCTTTCGGGGGCGAAGCTTACCAGTATCGGGTCCTTTCGTTCGGCCTAGGTCTATCACCCCGCACTTTTACGAAATGCGTGGATGCAGCACTGGCTCCTCTCAGATCCCAGGGCAATCGCGTATTAAATTATATCGACGATTGGTTGATCCTAGCTCAGTCAGAGCAGTTGGCGGTTCAACATCGAGATTTTGTTCTGTCACACATGATGAAAATACCAAGAAAAGTGTGCTCCTTCCAGCACAGAGGACCACTTATCTGGGGGTAGTGTGGGATTCAACAACGATGCAAGCAAGATTGTCTCCAGCACGTATAACTACAATCCTTACAGCCATAAAGAATGTGAAACTAGGCCGGTCACTCACTGTGAAACAGTTTCAGAAACTGTTGGGGCTCATGGCAGCAGCCTCCAACGTGATTACTTTTGGCCTTCTGTACATGAGACCCTTGCAGTGGTGGCTCAGGACCAAGGGGTTTTCTCAGAGGGGAAATCCGTTCCGTATGATCAAGGTCACGCGGCAATGCTTACGGGCCTTGGTCATGTGGAAGAAACCTTGGTTCCTTGCCCAGGGCCCAGTTTTGGGGGTTCCTTGTCGACGCGTCACGTTATCGACGGATGCTTCCCTGACAGGCTGGGGGGCAGTCATGAGTGGCCGTTTGGCGACAGGTCTATGGCAGGACCATCAGCAGTCTTGGCATATAAACCGACTAGAAATGATGGCAGTATTTCGGGCTCTCAAATACTTCCTGCCAGACCTGAGGGGCCATCATGTGCTTGTCCGCACGGACAACACTTCGGTGGTCTCCTACATCAACCATCAGGGGGTCTGAGGTCCAGAGCTTTATACAAGTTGGTTCTGCAGATCCTCCTATGGACCCAGGGGAAATTGTTGTCACTGAAGGCAATATATGTTCCAGGGTATCCGAATGTGGGGGCCGATATTCTGTCGAGGCAGGGGCTGAGGCCCGGGGAGTGGAGACTCCACCCCGAGGTGATGGAGCTCCTATGGGAGAACTTTGGTCAGGCTCAGGTCGATCTATTTGCAACTCAGGAGACAACTCACTGTCCGTTATGGTTCTCTCTCATGCAGCCAGCTCCTCTCGGACTGGATGCGATGGTGCAGGTGTGGCCGAGGCTACACCTGTATGCATTTCCCCCGATATCAATGCTCCCGGGAGTTCTGGAAAGAGTTCACCAGGAAGGGTCTCATCTGTTGTTAGTAGCTTAGCAGATGTCTACTCTAAGGTATGGGATGCTGGATACCCTCTCTACAACTGCACTGTCAATGCAGAGAGGAGTGGGGACAGTGCCCTTCTTGCGAAAATCCAGAATCATCTCCTTGTTCTTGTTCGTGTTCAGGATAAGATTTTTCCTCTTTGCACCACAGCTCTAGTCCATCCACTTCCTGCCAGTATGCTAACTTGTTCCCTTTGGTGATTAGTCCAACCACTACAGTGTCGTCTGCGAACTTCATTGAGGATGCTGACATAGCGAGCTCTGCAGTCATGCGTGAGCAATGTGTAGAGCAGCAGACTGAAAATGCAGCCCTGGGGGGAGCCAGTATTTTATGGTAATTTAGTCGTAATCATACTGTAGATCTAATACCATCACATGGAATAGATGTTGATACTGTTGAAATACTGCAGCAGAGTAATGACATCTCAGATCATTATCTAGAGAATAGCATGAATACCATCTCTTTTCAACAGGTCAGGTTTGCCCCCAAAAAATTCCAACTGTCTATGAATTCTATATAATTCTGCGGACACCACTTAGACAACCAGCCATTGAGTGAGGCAAATGTACTAACTATCTCATTACTCCTGCGAATAGGAGGGGGGCCAGAGCAAATTACATTGCTTGACATCGTAATTGCGAGTTCACACACCTCTTTAATATTAATTTTGATAATCTCCGACTGGCGAAGTCAAACATCATAAGTGCCGACATGAATAATGATCTTAGAGAATTTGCAATTAGCATTAGACATCACTTTTATAAATGCTTTGATGTCAGGCGTTCTGGCTCCCGGCAAACATGTGGCTATGGTGGCTGGTGTCTATTTTTTCATGTTCTGTGTGATTGAACAGATTTCTTAGTGGGTGTTTCACTGAGCGGTGCAAATCGATTTGTTATGGTAATCAGAACGGAATATTGTTTTTTGATCCGAGACTAGAGCGATCCCTCACTCTGACCCATTTTCCTTGCTGCACAGGCGATATTTCAGCCAGAAACGAATCATGTAAAGAGTTCACTATGCTAGGTGCATCCAAAATAGTATAAAGCCCTAGCACACTTACTATCCTCAATTAAAGTTTGAATGCGTGTCTCTAGTTCTGAAATCTTTGCCTGACTGCCTCCTTGCATGCATCACAATCCTATATTGCCAACAGAGAAGGCTATGCTAAACATGTGACATGTACTGTAGTGCAGGTGACAATAACAGGAAATTACTCACTGTTTGTTGACTGATTCTTACTCACCAGGGGCTGGTTGCACCAGCTGTGTGCAAGTTACAACTTAGCCTAGTTTTGACGTAAAGGGCACTAAGGTACAACTTGCGCACTACTATATATTTTTAAGACTTCAATTATTTAGACATATATGATAATGCTGACATTTATACTCGGTTACATTATGTGAAAAGATTACTTTGTTAGCAGCTCTTTAACACGAACCTGTCCTAAACGGTGCCTCTGTGTGCATCGGTCCATGTTGTGCATGTCAATTATCAGTCATAATCAATAAGTGTAATTTCTTGGTTTTTATTGACCCTTACTAATTTAATTTCAAATACAGTTTCTGAATGTTGTTTAATATACAAAAAAACGTATGCTATTCATGATCAAGTATCGTATTAAATGGATCTTATACCGTTAGTAAGCTGAGGCAAAAGAAGTTAGAATGAAGGATAAACTTAAATTCACGGCATTTCAACACAACTCCTGTTCACGCATTTGAAGGCTGCTATTGGTTCATCGAGGCTAAACGTCATATTATGTGACTACACATTACTTTACGGAGAGTTTATGACCTACTAGCTACGTTCTACCTTACAAACAAATGGCGCAATGGAATAAAGTACGGAGTTAGTTACAAACTAGTTAGTAGTTACTAAGCCTCTAGAGTGGACTTTACGTTATAAACTTTACGTTACGACCTTATGTTACAACTTTACGTTATGACTTTACGTTACTTACGAAAGAACTTACGAACGGCTGGTGCAACCAACCCTACCCTGGGCTTTTTATGAACTCAAAGGCCCGGACGTGCGAGAGAAAAATGAATAAATACATAACTGAGTGCATAGGGGGTGTGTTAACAGGCTAGTGAGTTACTTGCATGTTGTGCTAACAATAACGGAAGCTAGCAAAGTCAGATTAATCTGAGATGAGGGTAAGCTGTATTTAGTAGTATAAACAACTAGAAATTATAGTAAATGATGGTTCAAAATGGAAAGAAATACAAAGCTAACATAAGGCTTAGACGCAGCTTACAGCCTTGAAGCAAACAAGCTCACAGCAGGCAGCGAGGCAGGCAGGAGCTTGCACCAGGCATGCGCCAGCACTGGGAAATAACAACAAACATGTCAGATTAATTCCATATGTCGGACCTTCAAGTTGCCCTTGCAGCTCTGATGTTTCTGTCAAGTTATCAGGGTTTTTCTTTGCCTCAATGTCTGCCCAAACTTGAAAAAGGCCTCAATCAACTCTGAAGGTGCATGGAATAACTCAAACCATCTGGTTCTTCATCATAGAAGCAGTTTATTGAAAATCTCTCATCATTGACTAGATCTTCTTTTGTACTTGTCTCAATGATAATTCCAGAAGGTTAGCTTAATAACCTACACAGAAACAGATATGTGATATGAGTCACTACAAAGTGCAACAAAAGTACAAACACCATTGTCAAACATTCACAATTTACACAGCAACTTAACAGCAATGTAAATAAAGAAGCTTGTTATGCAGTTAGAAAGTAAAATGCTAAACTACTAGCATTAAACACCTTTCAAACATACACAAAATATGTAGTCATTAAAGAAAAATAAGTCTTTGTCCTACCAGTTGCATCTCAAAGTTGATGAAACATTGTGGCTTTTCAACAGTCTTTCTCCTTTGGTTTTTTTAAACACCAAAACCCACCAACTTCAGTAGGAGAAGCACATTTGCTGCAAACAAAGATCCCTCTTGCTCCCAGTAATCACACACACCTGGGGTGCTTCTCAATATCCCTCCTCGTCTCCTCGCTCCTCCGTCCTCCCTCCTATGACCTGGAAACCGATCGAGCTCAGGCATCTTGAAGGACATCTCAATTCTCTAATTGCACCGTGAGGAGTCGAGGATCGAGGAGTGAGGAGGCTTCCTGAGGAGTCATGAGTGAGGATACACAGGTGCATCCTACACGGAACTGTTATATTGACTAAACGTGACGCACGTGTCAATTCTCCTCCCCCTTCACATCGGTCACAATCATTTTAATTTATACCTTTGCAGTTTATATAAACCACACATCTCAGATATTTCAACAGTATAGTCTATCTTTATTATTATTTATTATGAATTTATTAAATAACCAAACTTCAACAACATAAGGGCAGATCCTTTTAGCGCTGCTGATGACACTGTGGAGTGACGCTCGAGTGATCAAGAATTCCAATGGATATAAAAAAGCTTTTATTCGATTCCTCTGTCCTCCTTTCCTTTCCTCGCTTCCTTCCCTCACGTCCTACAGGGGGTGGAGCTGAGACGCAAGGAAAGGAAGCAAGGAAAGGAAACGAGGATGCACAAATAAGAAATGAGAAGGACCCCTGGTGGAGTTTGGAGATGTGGAGTTTCAATGACCAATCAGCTACCTTGATTCTCCCAGGTTGCACCATGTGCTCCCAACCAATAGGCTGCACTCATTTTGATCTTAAATCTTCTTTACCAATGATGAATTTATACTTTTTAACCAGGTCTCTTTTTTTTCTTTTTTTTTCTTTCTCTCAAATTCAACTTAACACCTCCCACTTGAGCTCCTGGTCAACTGACCGAAGGAGGTCACACACACTTCTTAGCTGAAATGTCTTTACTGTTCTTCAATGGGAATCAGAACTACCAAACGTCTCACATCCCTACGCAGAATCGTAGCTGGAATTTGGTCACAATGCTTTTTTGTTGGTTTGACATTCTTGCCGGTTTCTGCTTGGTTTGGTTTAACAATCGAGACAGGATAGCTGGGGAATACTCTGACCATTACATCTCTCACGGTTCCTTTCTTGTCTGCATTTATATCGACGACTCTGGCCATCTTGTACTGACCTCTTAGAGCATTCTGGTCAGCCACCCATACCACACCTCCCACGGCAACGTTCCGCTCTTTAGTATGCCACTTGTTTCTTACAAAGAGGTTAGGACCTGCCAGCTGACACCAACTTCTCCAAAATTTGTTGACTTCTTCCTGGATGATTCTTAGCCTTCTGTATGGATAGCCTTCAAACTTAAAACTTCCTTGATCCCCCTTTCTCCCAGTACGACCCAGGAGAAGAGAGTTTGGACTTACATATTCCACACAGTCTTCTCGACTTTGTGTCCTGGCATCAATAGGTCTTTCATTGACCAAATTGCTTGCCGTGTAAAGAAAAGTTTGAAATTCCCCCCATGACATAACTTTGTTACAGCCTAGATTCAGTAGGGCCCGCTTAACTAAACGGACAGCCGCTTCTGCTGCACCATTCCGGTGAGGGGAACCTGCCGGGTGAATTTTCCAAGACCACTCCGTGCCTTTCTTGGCTGCTTCAATTCCTAACTTTTCTCTGTCTTGTCGCTCTAGGAACTTATGAAGATCCTCAAGAACAGGCTTGGCCCCGATAAAATTTGATCCTGAGTCTGACCACAGTTTCCTAGGATGTCCTCTTAAAGCTGTGAATCTTTGGTATGCCAGCAGAAATCCTTCTGTTGATTGGTCACTGACAATATCAGTATGGATAGCCCTTGATGCCATACAACAGAAGACAACTCCCCAAACTTTGAGTCTCACCCTCATCTTTATTTCATCTTTTACCCAATAAGGTCCAAACAAATCCAGGGTTGTAAACTCAAATGGTCCAGCTGGTTCTGACCGCTCTGGTGGAAGGTCTCCCATAATCTGTTGGCATTGCTTCGACCTTGCCTTCTTGCAGGTCACACAGCAG